GAGTTATATAGAGTTTTGTAGAGTTATATAGAGTTATGTAGAGTTATATAGAGTTATATAGAATTATATAGAGTTACATAGAGTTATATAGAGTTATATAGTATTATATAGAGTTATATAGAGTTATATAGAATATGTGGAGTTATATAGAGTTATATAGAGTTATGTAGAGTTATATAGAGTTATATAGAGTTATGTAGAGTTATAGGTTATAGAGTTATATAGAGTTATGTAGAGTTATATAGAGTTATATAGAGTTATATATAGTAGAGTTATATAGAGTTATAGAGTTATATAGAGTTATATAAGATATAGAGTAGAGTTGAGAGTTATTAGAGAGTTATATAGAGTTATATAGAATTATGTGGAGTTTATATAAAGTTATGTGAGTTATATAGAGTTTAGAGTTATAGAATATTTATGTTTATATTTATGAGAGTTATATATAGATTATGTTATATAGTATTATATAGAGGAGTTATATAGAGTTATGTAGAGTTATAGAGTTATATAGAGTTATATAGAGTCATATAGAGTTATATAGACTTATATAGAGTTATATAGAGTTATGTAGAGTTATATAGAGTTATATAGAGTTATATAGAGTTATATAGAGTTATATAGAGTTATATAGAATTATATAGAGTTATATATAGATTATAATAGGTGTAGTTATATAGAGTTATATAGAGTTATGTAGAGTTATAGTAGTTAGTTATGTAGAGTTATATAGAGTTATGTAGAGTTATATAGAGTTATGTAGAGTTATGTATAGAGTTATATAGAGGATTTATATAGAGTTATATAGAGTTATGTAGAGTTATATAGAGTTATATAGAGTTATATAGAGTTATATAGAGTTATATAGAGTTATATAGTTATATAGAGTTATATAGAGTTATATAGAGTTATATAGTATTATATAGAGTTATATAGAGTTATATAGAATTATGTGGAGTTATATAGAGTTATGTAGAGTTATAGAGTTATATAGAGTTATATAGAGTCATATAGAGTTATATAGACTTATTTAGAGTTATATAGAGTTATGTAGAGTTATATAGAGTTATGTAGAGTTATATAGAGTTATGTAGAGTTATATAGAGTTATGTAGAGTTATATAGAGTTATATAGAGTTATGTAGAGTTATATAGAGTTATATAGAATTATGTGGAGTTATATAGAGTTATGTAGAGTTATATAGAATTATGTGCAGTTATATAGAGTTATGTAGAGTTATATAGAGTTATGTAGAGTTATATAGAGTTATATAGAGTTATATAGAATTATATAGAGTTACAGAGAGTTTATATAGAGTTATATAGAGTTATATAGTATTATATAGAGTTATATAGAGTTATATAGAATTATGTGGAGTTATATAAAGTTATGTGGAGTTATATAAAGTTATGTAGAGTTATAGAGTTATATAGAGTTATATAGAGTTATATAGAGTTATGTAGAGTTATATAGAGTTATGTAGAGTTATATAGAGTTATGTAGAGTTATATAGAGTTATGTAGAGTTATATAGAGTTATGTAGAGTTATATAGAGTTATGTAGAGTTATATAGTATATTATATAGAGTTATATAGAATTATGTGGAGTTATATAGAGTTATATAGAATTATGTGGAGTTATATAGAGTTATGTAGAGTTATAGAGTTATATAGAGTTATATAGAGTCATATAGAGTTATATAGACTTATTTAGAGTTATATAGAGTTATGTAGAGTTATATAGAGTTATGTAGAGTTATATAGAGTTATATAGAGTTATGTAGAGTTATATAGAGTTATATAGAATTATATAGAGTTACATAGAGTTATATAGAGTTATATAGTATTATATAGAGTTATATAGAGTTATATAGAATTATGTGGAGTTATATAGAGTTATGTAGAGTTATATAGAATTATGTGGAGTTATATAGAGTTATGTAGAGTTATATAGAGTTATATAGAGTTATATTAGAGTTATATAGAATTATATAGCGTTATAGAAGAGTTATATAGAGTTATATAGTATTATATAGAGTTATATATAGAGTTATATAGAATTATGTGGAGTTATATAGAGTTATGTAGAGTTATAGAGTTATATAGAGTTATATAGAGTTATAGTAGAGTTATGTAGAGTTATATAGAGTTATGTAGAGTTATGTAGAGTTATGTAGAGTTATATAGAGTTATGTAGAGTTATATAGAGTTATATAGAGTTATATAGAGTTATATAGAGTTATGTAGAGTTATGTAGAGTTATGTAGAGTTATATAGAGTTATGTAGAGTTATATAGAGTTATGTAGAGTTATATAGAGTTATATAGAGTTATATAGAGTTATATAGAGTTATATGTAGAGTTATATAGAGTTATGTAGAGTTATAGAGTTATATAGAGTTATGTAGAGTTATATAGAGTTATGTAGAGTTATATAGAGTTATGTAGAGTTATGTAGAGTTATAGAGTAGAGAGTTATGTAGAGTTATATAGAGTTATGTATGAGTTATATAGATTATATAGAGTTATATAGATTATATAGAGTTATATAGAGTTATATATAATTATGTGGATTTATATAGAGTTATGTAGAGTTATATAGAGTTATGTAGAGTTATATAGAGTTATGTAGAGTTATAGAGTTATATAGAGTTATGTAGAGTTATATGTAGAGTTATATAGAGTTATATAGAGTTAAATAGAGTTATATAGAGTTATATAGAGTATTATGTAGAGTTATATAGAATTATGTGGAGTTATATAGAGTTATATAGAGTTATATAGAGTTATGTAGAGTTATATAGAGTTATGTAGAGTTATGTAGAGTTATATAGAGTTATATAGAGTTATATAGAGTTATATAGAGTTATATAGAGTTATATAGAGTTATATAGAGTTATATAGAGTTATATAGAGTTATATAGAGTTATGTAGAGTTATGTAGAGTTATATAGAGTTATATAGAGTTATGTAGAGTTATATAGAGTTATGTAGAGTTATATAGAGTTATATAGAGTTATATAGAATTATGTGGAGTTATATAGAGTTATGTAGAGTTATAGAGTTATATAGAGTTATGTAGAGTTATATAGAATTATGTGGAGTTATAGAGTAGAGTTATATAGAGTTATGTAGAGTTATGTAGAGTTATATAGAGTTATGTAGAGTTATATAGAGTTATGTAGAGTTATATAGAGTTATGTAGAGTTATATAGTATTATATAGAGTTATATAGAGTTATATATAATTATGTGGATTTATATAGAGTTATGTAGAGTTATATAGAGTTATGTAGAATTAGAGTTATATAGAGTTATGTAGAGTTATAGAGAGTTATGTAGAGTTATATAGAGTTATGTAGAGTTATGTAGAGTTATATAGAGTTATATAGAGTTATATAGAGTTAAATAGAGTTATGTAGAGTTATATAGAGTTATGTAGAGTTTGGTCTTTGGTTCGACTGATCTACATGTAAAAATGTCGCAGTGTTGTGTCCGTTGTTTGAACAGATCACAAAAAAAAAAACACACACAAAAGTTCTAAATATTTGTCCGAGCCGTGTGACTTCCGTCGGGTTTCTGAGCTCTAATTGGATTCTCACTAAAAAATGGAGGTGATGGTGAAAATGTTCACTGGTTCTGTCATTTTGAACAAATGTTTCGTGGGACCCAGACGTCGTGTTTGACGTGAGACTTACAAGCCCAATAGGCTCCGCCCTCCATCTGACATTACATCATCAAATCTTTAAACCTGAACGTGACCAGAATTTTAAACTAAAGAATGAATAAAGACTTTGGTTCTCACAGGAGAGTCCTGTCCAGCAGAGGGCGCAGTGACACCTCTGACTCCGCCCCTCTCCTCTGACTCCGCCCCTCTCCTCTGACTCCACCCCTCTCCTCACCTGTGACTCGGAGGCTCCTCCTCTCTGACTCCGCCCCTGTCGTCTGGTCTTTACAGGTGTATTCTCCTTCATGTTCCTTGGACACGGTGAAGCTCCAGTCTGACCCGTTGTGGACCACAGAACCATCTTTCACCAGAACCGGACTCAGCTTAGGCCCAGGCCTGATCCAACAGCGAAGTGTGATGTCACTTCCTGCTGTTACAGGAAGTGCAGGACCGTCCAGGATCAGGTCTCTGTCTGAAGAGAGAAACTTTACACTTTACAAACACTTTACAAAGTCGAGTGGATCTGGAGTTGTGTTGTTTCTGCTACAGCTCTCACCCACTAACCCACAGGTTGGAGGTTTGATTCCCGCTATGCCTGTCCTTGATGATCCTTGTGCCTCCAGGCCCAATGGAGGGAATGTGTGGACTATGTGTATAAATGTATAAATGTAGAGTTACCTGTGACAGAGAGGGGGCGCTGTGGGCCCCTGAGTCCAGCTGCAGACTCACACCAGTACAATCCAGAAGCAGAGGAGAAGAGGAAACGAATGACACAGCTGGACCCTCTGATGACACCAAAGTCCCGATCATCCCCACAGGACTGGACCTGGTCAGACCCAGTCCTGATCCTCTTCACAGACGCCTTCCCCTCACACCACAGAGTGAGGTAAGCTCTACTGAAGAACTGGTCTAAGTCTGGCTCCACCTTCAGGACCTCTGAGTTCAGACGTAAAAATAAAGAATGTGAAAGTCCTGGTTTAGTCCTGGTTTAGTCCTGGTTTAGACCTGGTTTAGTCCTGGTTTAGTCCTGGACTCACCTGCAGACACAGGGAGGAGCAGCAGACTCAGATCTGTGAAAACAGTGAAACATTTTTAATGGAAAAAACTTTAAAAAGTGACTTGAGACGAACTCAGAGTCTGAGAGACTCAGACTCTAGGACAAACTGGAGACAGACTGGAGACAGACTGGAGACAGACTGGAGACAGACTGGAGACAGACTGGAGACAGACTGGAGACAGACTGGAGACAGACTGGAGACAGACTGGAGACAGACTGGAGACAGACTGGAGACAGACTGGAGACAGACTGGAGACAGACTGGAGACAGACTGGAGACAGACTGGAGACAGACTGGAGACAGACTGGAGACAGACTGGAGACAGACTGGAGACAGACTGGAGACAGACTGGAGACAGACTGGAGACAGACTGGAGACAGACTGGAGACAGACTGGAGACAGACTGGAGACAGACTGGAGACAGACTGGAGACAGACTGGAGACAGACTGGAGACAGACTGGAGACAGACTGGAGACAGACTGGAGACAGTGGAGGACAGACTGGAGACAGACTGGAGACAGACTGGAGACAGACTGGAGACAGACTGGAGACAGACTGGAGACAGACTGGAGACAGACTGGAGACAGATTGGAGATGGAGACAGACAGACTGGAGGATTTTGTGTGGACACAGAGCACCACCTCCTGGTCACCTGCTGCCGGCACAACTCTCAAACCCAGAAGCTCTTTTTAAAAAGGCCACACAAACCTCACTCATCTCACCACTGCAGTGTTTCACACAACTTTATTCACTCACTTTGGATCATTTGGTTCCATTTCAAAACTCATGTTTTCTATTTCAAGTTTTGCACAGACTCGCTCCTCCTCCTCCTCCGCTGGAGGAAGTCATAAAACCACAGAGTGTGGGAGGGCATCAGGGCCACAGCTCGAGGGGACTGTGAGGTACCACACAAACGCTCCATATTTGGTCAGACTGTGTTTTCTGTCAAAGGACCAAACTCTGGAACAGTGTCTGAGCACAAGAGAAAGTCCATGTGTGTCACTCTGAAGCTGTGTGTGAAGGAAACCCTCTGTGTGTGTGGCCCGTTTCATCTGGACTTTACTCTTCTCACTTCTGTCTCTGTGTCTGCTTCTATTTGGTTTTTTGTGTCACTGCTGAGGGAGCTCAGATGAAATGAGCGTCTTTGCTTGAATCTGTCATATTTACAGTGGAATTACAGATGTGCATTAATATGCAGTGTCCATGTCAAATCAAAACATGAATCAAACACATTTCAATGTACAACATAGAAGAGGCTGAGAAAGAAGCAGGTCTCCATAAGGACTCACACACTGTCCTCAAACACCAACAACATTTGGACATTTCCTTCACAACACAAAAACTCAAGAAAAACTAGAGTTACTCACAGAGCAGAGACAGCTCCATCGCAGACGCACACAAGAGTCCAGTGAGTGTGAAACCAGAAGGAACACACGACTTCTGTTTTTAGAGACGAGGGGAGGAGGTGTTAATGACAAAACAGGGTCCAAATAAAGACTCAAGATAAAGTCAGCAGTTCTGCTCCAGTCAGAATAAAGTGATATGAACATAATACAAACATTTCAGACCAAACAGTGGAGGCCACAGCAGCAGGTGCAGAGAGGAGCCACAATATTCCACTGAAAGTCACCTGGAGCCACAGTCACAAGGAGCAGGAAGCAGAGTCCTGCACGGCTCCATTTTTGGAGACCCACACCCGCCCGGTCCATCACCGCACCCGCCCGGTCCTGCACCGCACCCGCCCGGTCCATCACCGCACCCGCCCGGTCCATCACCCGCCCGGTCCATCACCGCACCCGCCCGGTCCATCACCGCACCCGTTAACTGGAGATTATATCAAAGTTAAACCCACACCCGCCTGGACCCGTGATAAACCACACACAGATTAAAATCATTCTAACTGAAGCATCCGTCAGAAAACAAACTGAAAAGTTACAACTTCAAGAATCACAATCACCAAATTAAATGAGAAGGTTTCACTTTCTTCAGCACGAACACGAATCACAGACGCGACTCGACTCTCATCACTTCACATGAACAGAAGAAACAGCTACGCGCCGCACGGAGGAAAGTGCTGCACTTTGTGGACACCTGCTCCTCGAGCTTTCTCCCTCTTAAGTCCAAGATCTGGACTCTGTGGTGGACTCAGGTCACAGGTCACAGGTCACAGGTGGAGTCTTGGTGTTTTCGGGGGCTTCCTGTTCTTAGACGTTGACCACATAATGAGCAAACTTGGTCTAAACTTGACTTCTGTTTTTACTCCTCGTTTCACAACATTTCCTTCCTCTTTCCCTCTAACACTGCCCACTAAAATTAGACTTGGTTTAGACCGGGTTTAGACCGGGTTTAGACCGGGTTTAGACCAGGTTTAGACCGGGTTTAGACCGGGTTTAGACCGGGTTTAGACCAGGTTTAGACCGAGTTTAGACCGGGTTTAGACCGGGTTTAGAGACCGGTTTAGACCGGTTTAGACGTTTAGACCGGGTTTAGATTTAGACCAGGTTTAGACCGGGTTTAGACCAGGTTTAGACCGGGTTTAGTCCAAAGTGTAAAGGTGTGGAGAGCAGACAGGTGCAATAAGAACACCTGACACAGGACACGACAGAGGGACAGAGGGACAGAGGGACAGGGGGACAGTCCAGACTCTGTTCACTGCTTTTTTTTTTTTTGTGTGTGTTTTTTTTGTAAATGTTTAGTAATATTTTTCCAGGTAAGTCACTTGAGAACAACTTCTCGTTTGCAACGACGACCAAGAGACACAAACAGAAAACACTCCCA